AGAGCGCGTATATGAGAGCGGGGGGATGGGAATTGGGAAATACTGTACTGTGCTGTAGATGGAAAACAGGAATATATGAGAGAGTTGAAAAGAGGAAATATCCCCGAGAATTTTTCGCATCCGCCTATACTTTATAACAAGGAATTGCAGGAAGCACTTTCCGCTGACGGGATGAACACGATATGACGAGTCATCATTACAGTATTTGGCAAGAGCCGACCGAACAATGAAAAGTTGAATTATTTGATGACTTCGGGTCACCTGTTGCTCCTGCTGCCGGAGGTGTTGTGCGCATGTGCAATATGTGTAAGTCACAGTCAGTCACATCATATTTAGTACGTATAAATATATGCAAATATAGCAGCGTTATTTGTATGCATCAGCAGCAGGTACACTGGTCAGCGTTAGTCGACCTCTTTCACGACACAAAAGGCAAAGTCTTTTCGGATGCTTGTCGAACGAGTAGATATACGTATATAGAAAAGATGCTGGATGGGGGGGGGGGGGATGAAAAATTGAAGCGATGAAATGTGATTCGCTCACCATGAGTTGGTGCAGCACGGAAGATGAGACGACGACGATGATGAGAAGGACTCGACCGCCGGGCAGAACTTGCCGAGCAGCAGGACGAGGAGTGCACCGCATGTTCCGCATCAGCAGCGGACTGTCGTTGCTGTCACTCCCGTCAGCAGCAGCAGCAGCAGCAGCAGCCAGCATCAGCATCAGCATGCGCAAGCCGACCAGTACAGTATTGCAGACGAACGACGACGAGGGGTCGCATTATCCGTATTATTCTCATGTCGTTATCATTATAGCTATACGGTATTAGTTGAGTCCCCGATTTATCACGAGGACATGCTATATATTACAATATATATAGCTATATATATATAGGCCAGTATATATAGCTTCTGAAATGATACGATTGCTGATTGATCTGATATCGATTAATTCCTCTGGAAATCAAATCAAATAAGCAGCGCGAAAATATTGACGGCGGACGAGTAATATGGCTGGATGAGGGAGGCCAATGAGCTGTTCGTTGAAATCACGAGATGACTCGATGCAATCGCAATCATCACCACGCAAGCACAGCCGCACTGTTCGAGTGCCACGACGGCGGGTCATCGTCCAATCAACAAATCATATACGACTCAATTATTATTCACGCGCGCGCGCACACCTGCTGAATGGCATCACAGCAACACAACATGTGCATATACGTATATATACAGCTAGGATAGTACTTATTGTAGAGTCTTTATTGTCAAGAAAGCTGTGTGAATGAAGCTCAGCACTCGGGATTCCCGCTCGTCTCATCATGCATCAGCATCATCAGCATGAGTTACAGTAAATAAAGGAACGACGATTGAATTACAATTAAGCGGCGACGATGAACGAGCATGCAGCAGCACTACACAATAAGATGAGCACGTTATTCAAGCCAATTATAACACATAATACGCAAGTTGATGATTGACCATCACACTCTCTGCTGCATGTATATAATGCTGCTGATGCGGTGTGAGCTTTAAAATGTACCGCGCAGACGACAGGCAGAGTGTCCCGAACTGACTGGATGACCGAACGGCCCCTGCAGCATATATATACTGCACAGTATATATATATATATATATATATATCAGCTGCTCGCTGGTGTGCTGTGCTGTGCTGTGCTGTTGGCTCCAGCTTCACGTCCCATGCAGGGCAACCAACTGTGACCCGGACAAAACAACGCAGTCATTTCCTTGGCGCCAAAAGAACAAAAGTGCAGTTCCCACATCACCAAACCCAACTGGCAAAACACCAACCACCACTATACCACTTCCAGGCGGGCAGTGAAAACATCAAGACGGAGAGAGAGAGAGAGAGGCAGACAAACACTCATCGACGTTCATCACGCACCACTTTTCAAAGACTATATGGAAAATTCTTCAAGTTCACACTCCACAGTACGTATATATGTATATATATATATACCTCGTGTGATATGAGTGCTGCATGCACGAAATGCCACAGCAGGGCTGAAAACATAACAATGCCACCCAATATTGCACGTACTAAAGTGCGCAATTTTCCACTTGCCCGAGAAAGAGAGAGCGAGTTCGTGTTGCGAAATTGTGCGCTCATATGCAGCATAGAAGCAGCAGCAGCTCCGTGCATGAACGAGTGGAAGAAGATTCTAATACGGTACAGTACTTGTACTATACAATACAGGCGGGCTATATGTATTAACGGTACTGACGAAGCATTGCTGTACAGTACTCGAATCTACTGTGCTGTGCTTGAAGCACCAAATTGTGAGCATGAAACAGCGAGAAAGGCGGCGACACACCCGGCTGCCATCAAACAGCAGCGAGGAATTAATGCGCCCGAAATTTCCGAGCGAGACTCGTCATTTTCACGCTTCCTCATCCTCTTCTGTCATCGGGTGCCCCGACCGCGACTCTCCGAATTCATGTAGGGCGTTAATACAGCATATACAGACTTGTATAGGGAATTGCTTTCCCTTTATTGCGCGTGCTATAATAAGTATAAGGACCCGCGTGATGATTGCTAAGTGCTCATGCTGTTACCGTTACTATATATAGTTCAGCGCTGTACGTTACTGTATACGTACATCTCAAAGAAGGAAATATAAGTGAGCGAAAACAAAAATAATACTGTCGAGAGTGATTTGTTTCCTATTTCGAATATGTGTATATACGGTAATATAGTAAACTTCAGTGTACAGTACTGTAAAATTATTTTCATTCTCCCCAAGTCTAGTTTTTCCCATTCTTTTCTTTTTGTTGCGCGTTCAACTAATTTCCGAATTCAATCATCCTGGCGCTGTTTCGGTATAGGTACTCGTGTACGTTATACAGTACACTCCTCGACGCTTACATCGAGTTCAGCGTTTTACACGAGTGTGCAATAAATTACTGTATTGATTTGACGAAAGTTTCGGCGTTAGCTGACGATTGGCCAGAGAGTCATATACAGTATGTACTCAGCAGGTACGGTATTAACACAGGCATGTTTAATAGTGAGAAACGCTTTATGCATGTTTATTATACTCTACTGTACATCATAACTTGCTCAATGGGCATTGCAGGATGAAACTTACATCTAAAGAAAAGAAGAAGAAAAAAAAACAGTTCCGGAGAAAATGAACGTGAAAATAGAAAAGCGTGAATCATGAGGTCGATGCTTCGGATTATGAGCCATCAGGCATATATGTTTTGGGGATCAGTTGCAATGCAACTGCATTTTCTCAAAAATATCCTTGACAACTAGCTCTTGTTACAGCATAGCAGCAGGGGCAGTCCTATTTTACTTATTTTTTTTTTTGGCATCCTTATCCTCAGTAAATAACAACGAGTCTGATTAATCCATCTTATTTGCTTCTTTGAACATACTGCATTCTGCAAGAAACAGCAGCATCATCTTTATACAGTCAACCCGCACGCGACAGACTTAATTCGAGCAACAGACTTTTCTGTTATGTGGAAAGTCTCTTATGCAAATGCCATTATTAACACATTAACATTTTTACTTTCTACCACTAATTTTAAACCAGCAGAAGTCTTGTCCGATCGGGGGGGGGGGGGGGGGGCCGGCCTCCCGTGGAGTGCGGGGGGGGGGGGGGGGGGGGGGGGGGGGGGGGGGGGACTGCCTCCAGAGGCAGTCTGTTTGGCAAAAATCCCTTAGGCGGGAGGTCCGTTAGGTGGGGGTTGATTGTATATACGGCATACAGTAGAATCACTGTCGACCTTTTATCTATGCGTAAATGCTCATCCATTGATAAATCATTGCACCCTGCGGCATGTTTTCTTCCTCATATTCTCACATGCAATAGGATTTATCCTCGTCTGTCCCGCGGATTTCGGCCGCGCTGCTGCTGGCTTCTTCCTATTACAATGCAGTACTGTACAGTACAATGCTGTATTCGGAATGAGTGTCCTGTACTGCAACGTTTCGTACAGCATGAGTACGAACAATGTGCAACTGAGTACTGGCCGGTGATGACACTTCCCGCCTAGAAGCGTCGCGTTCAGCCCAGCACTTGACAGAAATCAACGTTTTCACTAGGGTTTTCATTCGACTGTACTCAATAGCGTCTCGGAGATATGAGGGCGTCATCTGCACGCGCAATTCAAAACTTTGCCCATGCGTCGTTTTATATCATGACAATATGAACGAGTGATATCTTTGCGAGTAAATCATTTTCATCTTAGAGTTCTTTTGTCCGGAAATCTAGATGTCAGCAAAACTGAACGATAAAATGTTTTCGTAAGACATCTAAGTGTGAAGTTATAAACAGATAAAGTGAGTCATTTGAAATTTGTGAAGAGGCCGCACCCCTCGCCAGTACAAAATTCCCATTTCCTCTTTCCACGGTGATCCTTAATGAATGTTATGATCGTAATCACTTCCCTTCGATGATCATAGTTGGAGCAATATACGTGTCCATCATGCATAATGGTACAGTATAGGCATAGACGAAGCATTTCATTCATGGTATACTGTACTTACATGTAATATTGATAGTCCTGATGGAACGAAACAAGAAAATCAGCATGCGCACTGGCCGGATGTGTATACCGTAGATTAGCCAATGCTGATCAAGACGGGTGAGTTCCGTATACTGTACTGTACTTTGTGCTGTAGTACACTGTAACGCGTACGATTATGCGGAATGTGTATCAGGAATATAGCGCGATGGATGCGGTTTATTTCCGCGGTGACGATGCTCATCGCGAAAAAGTCGGCTTCTTTAGCTGCAGCAAACGGCCGCGGAGCACTCACTCACTAGTACATTGTACAGTACAGTACATAGAAAATATACGTTTTGACCGGGCAGCACAAGTACTTGCCACATGTAGGTATAGATACACTTTTGTTATACTGCCCTGAATATAACCACGTACTGCACTGTGCTATGAATTAAATACACCCCATTGAATTCCGAGAAATGAGGAGCAGGATACTGTAATGACAATAACCTCACGAAGGTCATCATGATGGATGACGATGCTCCTTATGCCCTTGTAGAGTACCGCACGTAGCTTCGTTTACTCATCGACGTGTGAAACGCACCGCACATGAAACGCATCATACAGCACAGCATACACATATGCAGAGAAGAAATACAGTCGCATTCCTAATTTTACCGGCCCCAGCATCGCATTCAGCAGCAGACATCGTGATATTATTGGCCTTTTAATCTATTCCTCATCATCAACATATTGGCGATGATGATGATGTCAGGCTGATATCTACGTTCGCCCGGGTGCGGAGCTGAATAGTCAAGCATATAGAAAAAAAAGAGAAGAGAAGAGAAGAGCAGAAGCAGCAAGTGTAGCACCGGTAACAGCTATATATAGCTGCAGAGGAGAGGAGAGGAGAGGAGAGGAATCATGGCGGTGATTCTCAAGCATTACTACCCGGTCCTGCTCCTCGTCGTCGTGCACATCTTCCGCCGGTGTCCGACGGTGAAGCGGGTCCGCGAACTCACGTCCCAGTACCCCTTCTACCCGTTCATCATCACTTCCACGGGGGACCACTTTTTCTGCCAATACGTGTCCAGTAGGTGCGTGATGATGATAATGATTCATGATGCTGGGCATATATACAGTACTGTACTGTATTTGTTTCACCTCTTGCACGACTCTCATACACTGCTCGTATAAACATGTCATCATCATCAGCATCATCATCATCATAATTATCATTCTTCTTTTAGTAACTTGATGACGTGTGCTGCCCTGTCGGTGCTGATTGTGCTGACTGCCGTCATGTTCTATGCCGAGGACAAGAAGATCTTGCAAACGTCGGTCTTGTTTACGGTGCCAGTGGGCGCCTACTGCGTCTACCTCTTTTCCGAGTCCATCGTGGTGCACGAGGTCGCCCTGGAATTGGAGGTGTTTGTTTATTTTTTTCTTTCTTGCATTCCTCTCCTCGTTGCTCGTCTCTTGATTATGCAGCACAATACTGCACAGCAGTGTAATTGGTGGAGAAAGGACGATAGAGCAGGATGAGGAGGTTGATGAGATGCTGAGGTATAGATGATAGCAGAATCGTCGGTCCTCGTAAAAAAAAAAAGCTATAGGGTTCTTTTTTCAACTAATCTATAGCTTTGTTTAAAAAATGTTAAAAATAAAAATAAACTGTACCTTAATGGGATATAATCATTAGTGATAGTTTATCTGTCCTTGCTGTTATTGTCCATGCTTGATATATACAGTACAGTATTATACTATGCGCACAGTCCGGCCCGGAAATGAAGAGGAGCAACAGGAGCAGCACTACGGTCAAGGCCGACGGTGGGGGTCAGCAGCAGCAGCAAGGCTCAGGGGAAGTGCCCCATCCTGCTAGCGCCGCCGCTGCGAACAACACCACCGCCGCCGCCGCCGCCACCACCACCAACTTCCCTGGCAGTCAGACGGCGTCCCAGCAGAAGCCGGACGGGCCTGAGGCGGCCAGCAATAAGGACTACAACAAGGCGTCGACGGCCTACCCGTTTGGCTCGAGCGGTGCTGGAGCTGGTGCCTCGTCGGACACAGCACGCGGTGGCGGAGGCTTGAATGCTTCGTCTACCGGCCTCGAGCGGGTGAATGTGCTGCAGTACTACGTGTTTCGGAGGAACCACCTGGTGGCACAGGGCTCCCCCTACAACGTCTTCATCCGGCTGCACCTCAAGCGCCTGGCCTTCTCCTACGACTCCTACTACTTGGCCCTAGAAGGGTGTGTGCCGGGCCATATATATATATATATATATATATATATACCTATGTCTCACTCTCATCTCTTATCATAGCACTATTCATTGTCGTACATTATTCCTTCCAATGTCATCATCATCATCATCATCATCAAATACTTGTTGACGCATCATTGGTGGAACATCAATTATATAATCGTCCATCTAATTTGCTTATTGCGGTATTACGAATACGAGTGGGCAAGCAATCATCATCTATCTCGTAACAGCTTTTGACGAGACTTGCTGGAGGATAATTTTATATGGAATATGACGAATACCGTTGTATCTTGTAAACGTCCGTCTACACTACGGGTGAAAGGATAATGCTTTGTCTTTTTTTTTTTTAAATCAACACGGGATATGTGGTACGAGTAACCGTTTTAATTATAATTCATTGTATGCATGTAAAGCATATATTGATGTAGAGTTCTGTACGTAACTGTACTGTATTTACACGCATGAATGCTGCATGATGGTTGTACTGTCCTGTATTTATATACTGCTGTATAGGTACAATATCCAGCCGGAGAAGCTGATCGCCGACGACGAGAACCTGGAGAAGGTGCGACACCTGGGAAAGAAAATCGCAGAGAGGCTGGGCATCTCGTACTACGACGTCCAGACAATCTCGGTACATTGTGCATATATAGTACAGTACAGTATACAATGAATATATTGTTTATTTATTACACGTAATGCCAGTATATAGCACCAGCATGATTTTTGCAGTAAATTATTGTATCAAGAAACTGCTGCTGATGGTCATCATCCCATATGTATATATATGTATTGCGTTTCATCGTGTTAATTGTGAAAGCATATATACAGCAGTACAGCACAGTACTGTATGCTATTGCATATGCTGATTGAGAAGAAGATGCTGTGTATAATGAACTTTTGTATGCTATGTTTCGGACGACGGAGCAGGACCACCACCAGATGAACCAGGCCAGCCTGAAGCGCATGTGGGAGCAGCGACAAGTGGAGCTGATGGACACGCTGCGACGACGCCGCGACTTTGTCCCGCGCATCCGCAAGATTGAGCTGGACGTGGAGAGTCACGAGGCTCGGCCGGCGGTCGTGGCGGCGTCCGCTGCCAGCAGCAGTAACAGGGACCACAGCTCCAAGTCCACCAAGGCCATGTCCTTCATGTCGACTGCAACTGCAACTGCTGGTGCACCAGGGGGAGGGGGAGCAGGAGCAACACCACCACCAGGTGCTGGTGGCATCGGGGGCCCGGGCATCATCAGCAGCAGCAGCAAGCGTCATCACCAGCAGTTGCGCGGATCGACCACGTCCGTCTATCACTATAACCCCGTGAGATTTCGTCTCGTCCGCATCATTTCTTTTCATCATCACATGCATATGTATCATCAGGACCTTCCTCCGGCGACCAAGCGGGCCACCAAGCTGCTGCCCGTGCCGAGTGCGCCAGCTTTCAGCTCCTTGTCCAGTGGGGCCCACGTGCGGGAGAGGGCCACCATCGTGCGCATCAACGCGCCGCCGTCAAAGACAAACACCGAGTTCACCAAGGCGATGGAGGATGACATTGACAAGTACAATAATAAGAGGAAGAAGAACAAGTCCAATGAGCCGTCATCGTGACGATCTGCTGCTGTTGTACTCGTGCAGCATGCTGCACATCAAGAATGCATGAATGCTTCATATGTATATTCAGGCTGTAAGTACAGTATCAAGAGATCCATCATCATCATCATCATCATCAACTACAGTATATACATCGTCATTGCATGTGCTGGTGCGCTGACGCTCGACTTCATATGTGATATCAGCACCGATCATACCGATGCTTCCTGCAATCAATGTCGTTTCTCGTATGCCTGTTGCTGTTGACGAAAGGTCTCTCAGTCGAGCCCTGCTGCGACGAACGACTATCCTGCTGCATGTATATTATATATGATCGGCACTATTTATTGTACAGAACAAGCATATATATACAGTATACAGTATACGGGGCTGAGTTTCGTATATGCCCTTCATCATTTATTATAACAAGCTGTGTTTCGATTCAATTCTTCTCTTCGGTTGTGTCGTCCGTCATCGCAAAAGAGTGCGTGTGCTCGGTTTCTTCTTTTTCTTCTTATTATTATGATGATGGGATGACTGCATGAAACTTTAATAAAGACCATAGCAAGCATCTGATTCACGGTGAAACACGCGTGGAATTCATCGATGGAATATCCGTCATCATGATTGAAGCGCCCAAAAAGAGAACCCCTTTTATCTTCAAAAAAAAAAACAAGTTTCTTAATTTTCGTGATGCTGCGCAGGCTACATCACAAGTGTCACGTAGTATTGTATATTGCGCATGCATGGCCGTGCATCATACGTACGGCAGTACGCAACATGCAGTGCTCGTAATTCTATGGCATCTCGCACAAAACGCTCAACGATTGAGATCCTTGATTCTTCGTCACATCAGCCAGGTCATATATACAGCAGCAGCAAGTGATGAAATGAGCGATAAAAGACCCTCCGATGTTTTCTTTATACAGCAGCAGTTATGAGAGACATGATAGGATTTTTTTTTTTCGTTCTCATCGATGAGGAAAAGTGGTTCGTTTTCTGTTAAATTTCGTTTTAAAACTTCTATCTCACCCAGCAAAGAGGTGCATATACGGCAGTACTGTATGCATTGCATACACACGTATATTGAAGCAGAAATGCAATGACCGGCCCGAATCCCTGAGAAAAAAAATAAGGACTGTCGTTTTGTGTGCTTCTATACAGTACTCGAGCAACGAGTATAGTGCGACGTGGATTTCGAGGAGAGGCTGATGGTGTAGCCATCACAAGTGTAGTAGTACGAAACATGAAAAAGGTGAGCCTTTGATTACTACTGCAATAATAAGTGATGGCAGCGGCAGCGTGCAGTTGCACACCCACCTCCTGCGTTGTTGCTCATGATGTGATGGCGGCACACAAATCTCTATTTATCAATAATAACGCGTACAGAACACGAGTACCGCGCATATACTACTGTGTACAGCATAATACATGATGCCAGCATCAGGTTGACGATCGACCATCACGACGACGACGATTATAACTAGACACGGCTGACGGCGGCGTTAGACGACAACGACGACGACGACGACGACTCGTGTCTGAGGAACTGGACCAGTGTCCTCACTGGCCTGCCCGAGAAGCCCTTGGGGTTGTAGGGCGGCTCTCCGGGCAGCGCGGCGGCGTCGGACGAGCCTGCAATGTCCATGTGCATCCACGGCACCCCGTCTGGCACGAATTCCTGATGGGACGAAAACAAAGTAATGCATGCTTGTACATCAGTATATACTGTACTGAATGTATTATCCGTCCAACTCGTGCTGGTGCTGCTGCTGCTGCTGCTGTTTCTGCGTATATCACCACCATCATGTGCCACTCACGCGTTTAAAAAAAAAAAAAAAAAAAAAAGTGCATGCTCTGTATCGTCCATGTATATGCATTCATCAGCACTGTACAGCAGTACTCACTTTGAGGAAGGCAGCTGCAATGGACGAGCCTCCGAGTCTCTCGTGCTTGCCAATGTTGCACAAGTCGGCCAACCGCGCACCTGTGTATCATATATATAAATATATATTAGCGTGATTCATAATATGACGAGAAAACAGCAGTTGAAATATTGTCCAGTACTGTACTGTACTGTACTATGTTTGTGAATACTATAAGGAAAAAAAAAAAAAGACGAGGCATATGCACACGTTATCATCATCGTATCCCCCGCACCCATGCACCCACCTGTGACTGCCCGAGTGTGCAGGTCCCACAGCGGCAGGCGCCAGACCCGGTCGCCAGTCTCGTCTGCAGCGCGCTTCATGTCGTCAAACAGGGACTTGTGCGCGGTGAAGCAGCCGGTGGCTGCACATCCCAGAGCAATCCTCACGGCACCTTATTATTATTATTATTTTATTATCATCATCATTATTCCATCAACAACATCATCATCATCTTCATCATTTCGGGGGTGAAAAGAATCTTATTATTGCTGACCATCAGCAATATTTATTCTTTGTGTACAGTATTTTATTCTTTCATCGTTTACATGCAGTACTGTACTGTGTTATATACCCGTCAGCGTGGCCAGGTCTATGATGGCCCTGGGCTGGAACTGCTGGCCCGCGTAGCACAGTGCGTCCGCCAGGATGAGGCGTCCTTCTGCGTCCGTGTTGTAGATCTGGATCGTCTTGCCGTTCTTGGCCCGCACCACGTCCATGACCTTGTTGGCCCGGCCATTCGGCATGTTTTCGCACAACGGGATCAAGCCTGTCGATAGATCGTCGTCACAACAATACGACGTATTATAGAGTTGATACGCGCGTGAACGTGCATGAGTACAGTATAAATAGGTTTCATCAGCACTAATACAGCTGTACAGCAAAGCCGATATAAAGCTCAATAAAAAAAAAAAAAAAAAACAAGGAACAATATATAGATACAGTTATTTTTTACCCTGAGAAAAAAAAAACATCATCAGCATCATCATTTCTCATCGTGTCCTCCATTGCCATCAGCATTACCTACAACATTGATGGGCGTGTTGAGGGATGCGATAGCCATGATGGCACCGAGCACCACTGCACCGCCGCCCATGTCGCAGCGCATGTCCTGCATCATGGTTGACGGGACCTTGAGGGAGATGCCACCCGAGTCGAACGTGATGCCCTTGCCTGCCAAATGCAGTGGAGTATTATAAAGTATGCAGCAGAGAAGGATGGTTATATGATGATGATGATGATGATGATTGAAAAAATAAACTATATATTATATATAGACACTACTGATGCTTTTTGTCATTCATCCACACGACTGTATATACAGAACTGTACAGTACCAGCAGCAAACAGTACATTTTGTACCGTTGATGCACGTGATGATGATGATGAGTGAAACTCACCGACAAGCACGATGGGTCGGCCTGCTATCTGATCATCATGTTGACGAGGTCCCTCGTAACGCAGCTCCAGGAAGACCGGGGGCTGGTCAGAGCCGGCAGACACGCTGAGGAAACTGGCCATGGCCTGGTCCTCGGCCCACTGCTTGTCGTGCGCAATGACTCGGACGCCGAGTGGCTCGAGTCTCTTCTTGGCCTCCTGCAGCATAATATACAGTGTATTCATCAGTCAGCAATGAAATCACAGCATCCATCCATCCATCCATCCATCAGACGATATATGGTAATATATATATATAAAGGATGCAGAATGAATACAGTAATAGAAAAAAAAGACAGACTTGGATTTCCCCCCCTTTTTTTTTTTTTTTTTTTTTCTTTCTTGCCTCGGCTGTGGCAGTCGGAGTCAGCTTGTTGGCGGGCATCTCCATGAGCCAGCGGGTCCAGTTCTGTGCAGCGCAAATGGTCGCGGCTTCTTTCCACTCCGCAAGTCTATTATTGCATATATGTACATGCATACAACCCCATATATATCAGCAGCCAGCACAACCAGAAAAACGACAACCTTATTATATTGAATCGATCATCCTCGTCATCTCGATAATAAAATTTCGGTCATAAGTTTATCAATGAATGAGTGCACGTGCTGCGGTGAAATGATGTACCGTACTTCTCGGGACACGGATGGAGCAGACCCACGCCCGGCACGCGCTTCTTCTTGGACTTGAACGTGTCGAAGGTCCACAGGGCCAGCGTGGCACCCTCGGCTGCACTCGCCGCCGAGCTGCACGCGTCCACCAAGATCGTGTCCATGACGGACTCATCATCGTCAGCAGCAGCAGCAGAAGACGAATAGTCGTCCCACAGTTTTGTGCAAGCAGCTTATTGCAACACAAAATAATAAAATTGAAAAGACTGCTGTGGGATGTATATATCCCTTTTTTCATTTTTTTAATTTTCTTTTTTTTCTTTTTTGCTCTCATTTTCATCAGTATAAGGAGATGAAGCATGCTGCATGCAGAAAAGAAGAGCGAGCAGAATATTCTGATTATATTTACAGTACTGTATACTGTATATTTATTCACATACCGGCCACAGCGTGTCGAACTGCCTCCTTGCCCAAGTGGCGCTCCTCCACCTCGCAGAAGCCGAGGTCCTTGGCGCCCAGACAGGTCAGCGCCACGGTCCGGTACTCTTGGCTGATGCCGTACAACAGCCTCGTGTCCCCAATGGCCTGAGGTCCAGACCAGCTGCAACGAGTAAAACAATAAAATAATTAAACACGCGGTACGCAATATAACTTGTTATTTAGTAATTAAACAAACAAACAACCGAGCATTCTCTCCATTTTCCCGCTTCTGTTTTATTTTATTTTTATCTCAGATATATGCAGCACGCAGCATATTCATATCACTGCTTGAACATGATTGACGCTATATACTCGTATTCATTCAACGCAAGAACAAAAAGCAGTACACAATCAATGACTGTTGCATGTGATGGTGCTGTACGTTACGTACCTCGAGAGGTGTTTGACAATCTGGTTGCCAAACGCGTGGTCAAAGGTTTTCAGCGAGTCCGTCAAGAACGGCGACAAGTCCTCGCCGGCGGGCTGCCCTCGTGCATCATCACTTCTGCTGTTATTGGTGAATTGGTAGAAGCCGAGCACGACGACCGTCATGGCACCAACGTTGTTGTTCTTATTGCTGGCTTCAACAATTATTCGCAGGAACACTCACGTACAGCACTACAGCAGCGAAAATATCACGCGTGATGAAGTTGTACAATGACGACGAGGATGATGATCGAAAGCCTGTTGATATGAAGCGTTTGCACACTATATATATACAGCACCCATCAACGTGATCCTAGCTTATATTCCGTCTTCATTATTATACCGTACTTGAATGACCCCCGCGCAATAAGTGTCGCAACGCAACTGCCGCTGTTGCATGGGTATACACCGAGTGAGATAAAGCTGTATATATAGGTAGGACTTTTGGGTGGCATCACTAGCAAGTATATATGCATATACAGTATATGCATGCATGCATGCATGCATGCTTGCTTGCTTGCTTGCTAGCATTCTTGTTGAGAATGTACGTGGAATATAAGATAAGAGTGTGGTGGGCTGGTTTACTCATCATCATCATCATCATCATCATCATCAGCATAGCAGCAGCAGCAGAACTATAGCACCGCCACCGCATCCAGCACCACTCGAGTGAGTCGGGTCGCGACTCCTCAGCATGTGCGTATGTGGATCCGTTATCTCGGCGATTTCTGAGCAATTACTCTTATGCATCCCCGTTGTTGTTGCTGGGATACACTGTACAGTACATAGTGTGCAGCATAGCTAGAGGAGCAGTATATATGCGGGTATATACTGCCCCGAGATCTGCTTATTCTGAAAGTTTGTAATCTTATCTGTGAATTCAGGACGACGACGAAGAGAAGAGAGACGAGGGAAAGAGGGATGATGATAGGCGAAAGAGACATATACGACGACGATGAGTGGCCCTGTTATTTTTTATTTTTATTTTTTTTTTTAGACTGATGTATCTGCATGTCGGATGTCAATAAGTGATGTTGGCACCAATCGTCAACATCATGTACGGTATATATTCCGGCAGCAGGTCCATCTTTCATCCTTAAAATGGAAAGATATGATGGGTCTTGAGCTCTACAGCAGTAGCATATGTCAATCGTGGTGGTTGCTTGCATGAGTGATATTTGGGCGGCGGGATGCTGATGAGGACCATCATCACATATATACCTATTGATGGGACAACAAAAGCAAAAGGCAGCCAAGAGGATGAGAGAAAAATACTGTTGAATTCTACATTTGTTTTCAATAAGATATATATGTACTGTCTAGTACAGTACAGTATAAATATACAGTATGTCTTCACAATTCACACTATACTGTAAATAGCTATTTGATGCTGAGCATACCATCGATCCACATGCATGAGCACATACATACAGTACTGTACAGTATACTCGTAAATGCTGCTCGACACGGACCATTATATTCACTGATGCATACTCCTCTGCTGCACTGTCCTGCAGTAGGATGATGCGACCTCGACGTGCTGATGGTCAGCAAGGATGAGGAGATGAAAAGTCACCGCGTGACTCTGCAGAATTGTTTTCCTCAATCGACAGCACTCGTCGGTTATGAAGGTGATGCTGCACAGCTTGTTTACATTATAATAACGTATACTAATGAAGAAGACCCGTGGAATTCAATGATGGATGATGAAACCAAACCAAGGACTCGACACTTTTCCGATCCTCGTCGTCACCGCCGTACGTTTCGTCTGCATCCACAAGTGCCTCGTGTGGTGCCGCAGTCTAGATCCCCCGCCGGGTTTAATTTCAATAATATATTATTACAGTACTTGCATAATTATTATCTTTCATGTATGCAGTACAATTTATATATATATGCACGACACTAAATCCCGATACATTAATTTAATCTAGCAGCAGCATGCAGTAATACGAGTGCCGAGTATATACAGTGTACAGTGCACAGTCTATATTAGACTATATATAGTGAAGAACAATACAGTAATACAGCATATATACAGATATAGCCGACAACAGCTGCGTGGGAGTCAACATGATGTTGAGTAGGGTTGTGGAACTTGTAATCACTTTCATCAAGATCTACACCGCGTTGGATGCCGTCATTGTCGACTTGGACTCGGACGAAGCCATTCCAGTGAGTATATATATATATTATACTAGCACACTGTGTATTGCATATTGCATCCTGCACTATACACATACTGTATTACCTACTAATGCTGGTCAATATACTCGTCGAGTGCATTAGGAGACCATGAAGTGGGTGCAGGACGTGGACCCGCAGCTGGAAAGAGAGTTCCTCGACCTGCTGTACGAGGAGAAGTGGAAGGTGCTGCAGAGGTTCCCGAACGAGAACGTCACCGTGTACTGGACCAAGAGCAAGAGTTACTCCAACCGAGAGCTCTTTCTCCTCGCTGTGAGTGATGTGTGTGTGTGTATATGCAATACTGTATATATGCATCATGATGCATTCTCGTGCATTATTATACACTACGACTTGGTGATACTGCCTTTCATAGTACTGTACTGTACATGCACTCTGATGTACTCTGATGTATATATGTGCATTCACTCTATACATATAGACAGAAACGAGGCACGAAAAGGACGTGCTTTCCGATGCCCTGTGGATCGAGGCCTACCAACTGGGAAAGTGGAGCAGGATGTTCTCCGACTCCAAGATCTTGTCTGTAAGTTTTTTTTTCTTTTCTTTTTTTTCCATTTGATGCACGCATGTACAATAATAAGGCTGCATATGCAGTATATACGCAGTTGGTACTGGGCTACATTTGTACATATGGAATCCCCTTTGTTCGGGAAATTATCATTAGCACTGAATAGTGATGGGTCTTTTTAATTATTATCATAATCATTATACCACGATCCACAGCAGGCAGTATAATTCAACAAACCGTACACACATGTTATTGGCGAATGGCGATACAGTATTCTTCAAATATGTACACGAGCTGAAGAATGGCTGAACTGTATCGTACACTCGCTGCTGCTAAAATTATATCAAGTACAGTACCAAGTTGTTAATTTTACTCGTTTCGAGCATGAGCTCATCATCTTCTTCACGCACGAAAATAATACCCCAATACAAGGTGGAATTCTATTTTGACAACATATATCGCTGAGGGCGAGGGAAAGAGAGAGAGAGAGAGAAAGACCGAGAAGAGTGAGGGAGGGAGGGGAGGAGCGGGTAAGAAAAAGAAAGAAAAAAAGGTCAACAGCCCTTCTCGTTGTATTGCTCATGCACGCTGCTGAACCAGAAATATTCGTAGCGAAATCATTCTTCTTTCGATTTTTCGAAGGCCACTCAAATAATCTTACGTGCTGATGAGTATAAGCTGTGAATATACCTGATGCGCGCATTGTTGCATCATATTCCACGAATGTGGACGATCGGTGCTCGAATATAGTGTACAGTACTGTACAGCTCAGTGCTTTTTTTCCACTGCAACCAACACCACCCTTCTTCTTCACTTCACTTCCCTTTTTTATTTTTTATTTTTATTTTTTTTAGTATGCGGGGAGGAATCGGGCAGTTTTCTGGCAAGAACTGGAACCCGTCGTACCCGGGGGATTCGTCGCGCCCAGGGACTACGTCATCTACTCCAAGAAGATCGACAATGCCCAGGTTCCCAGCAGCACCCGGAAACCCGTGTCGCCCGTCGACGGCCTCCTGGGTAGTGCTGGTCTCGTCACCAGCAGCAGCATCAACGAAAACAGCAACGGCTCGACCATGTTCTTGTCCTGCAACTCCTCCAAGTACGGCATCGACTTTCCCAGTCGCGACGGGGTCGTCAGGTGAGTACTCGGTATATACAGTACTGTGTAGACCAGCATAATACGTATATCATACCCTGGAATACCAGCAGACCAGAGCAAATCTCCTGCTGTCATAATGATCTGAAAACGCGTGTATTCACGATCCTGCTGCATGAACGCCCGACCAACTCCATACATGCAGCATATCCTACGTATACAGTACTCTGTCCATTAAAAATAGCATCACTGTAGATCATTGGCTCGCGCACCCGCAATATATTCAAATTTAACAACGGTGGACTGCATTAAAGAGCCAAATATGCCATGCATGCATACGAAAGTGTCGTGTGATGAAGCTATTGCCGGACTTTATGACAAGGAAAGTTGAGTTATTTATATCGGCAGAACCAGACGATATAATTTAAAGTAAAGAAGGAATTTAAAGTAAAGAAGGCATATATAGGACGTATAGGTCAAACTTTATATGCGGTACCTGCTGGTACGGCCTAAATCTCAAAATACGAAGTCCAACAAAAATGCGGTTCATGAGCGATAAAACGAATGATGAGGTGAAAATAAGAGATACGAATGAAACACAACAGTGATATTGGAGGTTGCGCTATATATATATATATATATATATATATATATACAGTATATATATATATATACAATATATATATATATATTGTATAGTAGGCTGTACTGGCCAGAAAGAACCCCTAAAATCTTTTATGTCATCCACGCCATTCCTCTTACTTTCANAAAGAACTCAAAAATTTGTAATTTATTCTTCCCTGCACTCCTGTACATTATTTTCACCATAAAGTAACCCCTTGGCATGAAACACATAAATTAGTGTTAATTGCCTGCAGATTATTCCATGTTCTATATTCATTTGGGTCCAAAAAATGTCTTTCAAGAACGGATTAATTTGTTCATAATGGGACCCTAAGGAGAACAGAGATTCGCTGTGAGGCTGGTTCACTGTACAGCCATGCCCCAGGAACGGATTGTGACTGTAGTGAGGGGGCCCACTGTATATATATTGTATAGTAGGCTGTACTGGCCAGAAAGAACCCCTAAAATCTTTTATGTCATCCACGCCATTCCTCTTACTTTCATTTTTCCTTCTGTGGGAAAGTCACATTTCCTCCACTTTATGAAAATTTCTGTAAACTACAGTTCATAAACATAAACAATAAGATGCAGCTGGAGCAATTCAATACAGATCGACAGATACCTTGTTCTTGGAACCAAAAGTCTTCACGTACAAGAGTAATTCAAAAACGTTGTTATCACGATTGTATTTGTGTTGAACAGATGTCGTTTTAAACTGGAAAAATCGGCAAAAGTTCTTCATTCCGTTGACCCCATTATTAGGTTGTAAATATAAATGCAATCACAGTGTCTAATGTCTGTCGAACGAGGGGAATTCGGTACGACATTTGCACGGAGGATTCGAACATTCTTCATCAAATTTTCATTCGATATAATGCGGCATGATAAAAGCAAACATGTGCGGAATCGTACTCGTATCAGCATGCAGCTGGCTGCCTATTTTTGCATCGGGGTTGCCTCCATGGCGTGCAAAGTGCGAAGTACTGTACGTGATTCAGCACTTTTGCTCGAGCATCGCATTCAAGCAATACACGAGTTATTGTCTCGTCACAGGGAGGGTCTGCGGACTATTTTTCTTTCCTGCCTTGAAAGCAGCAGTGTCTTGCACGACATTTTGCAATGTCACATTCCTATCACGTGTATTGAATGTTCATGCCACTACACGCGCTTTTAAATATTTGACAAGAATAAGTGTGAGATTTTTTCCTTAAATAAAGTTTTTTTTCCACTTTTTACAGGGCCCCACAAAATACCTCGGGAATAGACCAGATAATAAATTGGTCTTTTTGAAAGTAAGGAAATATGATTCTTTCTTTGTCAGCATTTCACCATCAATTTTTGGAACATCAATTTGGTCACTTTGTGTTCACACTGTAAGAAAAAAAGATACACACCAGTCAAAAAATATTTCAGGCACACAAAAAAAGCACATCAAGACACTTCCCATGCAAAAAACGCACTTCACATTCCAAAGGGTCTGCACCCACTGAAAGGAAACCTCTGACTGTACACAGAAGGGTGAGAATGGGGGGTTTTTATTGCTCCCAGCAGAGGCTGTGCTAAAACAAGTTCACGAGAGGTTTTTCATGCAGGAAGGATAGCTCAAACTTGGAGGCCTTGGAAAAAACCCCAAAGAATAGGAGGGCAAGTTTTACTTTACAGTGGGACCCCGCACTATGAACGTAATTTGTTCCAGAGCTACATTTGTAACATTTGTAGTGCGGTACATTTGTAATGCAAAACACAAATTCCCATAGACTTGTATGGGAAATTGTTTAATTCATTCCACAAGATGAGGAAAAAAAAGAATTTTTTGTTTCTTGCAAAAAGCAGTTCTGTACTGTTTTTGTTTGACCCTTGTCACATGCAATGACATTTCTTTGACCATTATTGCATGTGACAATTGTCAAATTATTATTGTCACATGTGACAATTCCACAAAAAAATTTTGTGGCATTAAAAGTGTTATGATACAATTGTTCTGAGACAATTGTCTCAGAACACTGAGCCATGAAAATGTCTGTGCTCAGAACACAGAAATTTTATGTGACGACGGTCAAATGAATGTTGTCCATCTGACAAATGCCATGAAAACCTCTGCCCTCTGAGACAATTGTCTCAGAGCATAGAATTTTTTGTGGCATTAAAAATGTCTTTGTTCTGAATAGACAATTGTCTCAGAACACAAAAATTTTGAGCTTTTGAAAATGTATCTGTGCTCTGAGACAATCATCTCGGAGCACAGATTTTTGTGGCATCAGAAGTGTTCTGAGACAAGAATGCAGACATTTCTTAAGACAAATGCCACAAACAATTCTGTGCTCTGACTCCTCTGAGTCTATTTTCTCAGAGGACAGAAGTTTTCATGGCCTTTTTCAGACCTGACAATGGTCTTTTGACTGTCATCACTTGAAAAAAATTCTGTGTTCCGAGCACAGAAATTTTCTTTGCATTAGTGTTGTCAATTGTCTCAGACAATTGTCTCAGAACACTTCTAAAGCCACAAAAATCTCTTTGCTCTGAGACAATAATGTCTCAGAGCACAGAAATTATTTTTTGTACTACGAAAAAAAAATTTTTGTTGTAGTACAAACTTCATAATGTGAACAAGGGTGAAAATTCACCCTTGTTTGTATCACAAAGTTTGTTTGTTCTACAAGGGTGAAAAAAAAGGATTTTCCCAAGAAAAAGTTTGTTAAGTGGAACGTTCATTCTACGTTCCGCTCAACAATCGGGGTTTGTAGTGTGGGGTATTACTGTATTTTATTTGAAGAATCAGGCAGGATTTCCCTTTTTTAGCAATATCGAAGATTTCCGAAGATTCACCAAGAATCTCTAGGGAAAAAGAAATTGCGCGTGCCTTTGGTGAGAGTTACTTCAGGACTGGTCCCGTAACATGGTGCGACTCCACAAATAAGCATTTTTTGCATTATTTTCTAGCTTTATCTGGTGTTCATTTTTTATTTTTTAAATGAATGTTGTGTTTGCGCGATTCGATAATTTACACCAGGATGTTAATTGTTGGGACCCTCTTGCCGTGATCCAACTTTCTTCCTGCAGCAGAAATGACCACTGTGTTTGTTTCATGCACTTCTCTTCCAGGCCGCGGCACAAAATTGAAATTTCACTCACATCTCCTGCCTCCTTTTCAATAAGGGAAAGTCTGGCCCATTTTTTTTTTTTTTCAAAATTCTGCCTGCTGGGGAAAATCCCCAGAAATTAATTAGCGTCCAATAATGTAAGTGTTATATATAGAGATGACGATGATGTGGATGAATACTATACAATACTTCATTGTACACTGTTCTGTTCGTCTGATGTTCTATCATGTATATGTGTACGATATATAATGTACAGTACATATTTTGCGCAACAGGGCCGTGACTGGGACTGCCGGGTCCATTCTGAGGACGTACTTGGACGAGGACGGGCGACCCGTGACCCGGTTCTGGTGGATCCTCAACTCGGAGAACTACCCGCCCATGTTCACGCCCATGAGCGTGGCCAGACGGGTCGTGTTGAAGACCATGATGGACATGGTGCGGGACCTGCGCCGTTTCCTGCATCACCAGCAGCTGAGGGAGCTGCAGGCTGATGCATCATCTGTACCAGCAGCACCATCACCCATCATATAACAAGTGTCCGGTTTCCGAGAAGAAGAACAACAACAACAAAAGGACAATAAATAAATAGACACACATCATCAGCATGATTTTAATGAAATGAAGAGATATGGATGAAATAAATAAATAGAAAGTGATGCAGTGTATGTAGTACAGTATACTGTATAATGAGTAAGAAGAACCGCGGTATATTGTCGTCTTCTTATGAGAAATTTATCAATTTCTGTTCATCATGCAGCATACAGTATATGTATTTGACGATGAAGGAGGCAGCAGGCTAAATTATAGTACACACTGATTTATATTGAATTAAAATGTTCTGCTCGTCTCATCCGCCACTGCTGTCAGGATTAATTTGGTATACCAGCGTTTATACATGTTTCCGCGCGGACTTGAAACGATCTGCATGGGCACCAACGGATTTTTGAAAACATCTTTCTCATGTTCCTTATACTATAGAACCATCAGCAAGAGGCTATAGACAGACTCCTTCTCAATGTCATAATCACCACCAATTTGTGCATGATTCTTAGCCCTTTTGATCCATGCGTTTTGATACACACAGGCCTTGAAATGTTCAGTGTATTGTTGAATGTTATTGAAGCTTCTCATCCAGAACAGCAGCAAACAGCAACAAGCTGATCCGCGGAACCGTGCAACTACTTTTACATGATCGAGGGTCAGCTATACGTATTATATACGGTAATCGTATAATGATTGTACCGCGTATTTATAGTGCGGTTAATCAACAACTATGCTGCTGTATTCCTCTAGCTGATCTCTGACGATGGCATGCTTGCATATCGGTGAAAACATGCATGCACATTTACCGTATGTACTGTACAGTATATACAGTAAATACGAGTTTGCATGCAGGCATCAGATGCGTCGAGTAGGGCATTGGTTCTTGTCCATTTTCTCAAGATCCAGCTTGTCAAATGATCCACACCGTATCGTCGAAGCAAAGCAAGTCTGAAACTCGTGCATATTCATGAACTAGCTGCTGTGAATTTATTTATATACAGATGTACAAGAGTTGGCGGCATGAATATATTGTCTGCAGCATGCACTCTGACACCGCCACAGCATTCCTGATACTGCATGATGGCGCGTTTTTTTTTGGTTCTTCCGATTTTGTGTCATATGCTGGGAATGGAAATGAGGCGACCTTATACAGTATTGCTTTCCTCAAGGAATATATGCAACAGTTCCGTCAAAACACTGTCGTGCTAATTGTCTCCTATATAGTGTGCTGTGTGCTGTGTGATAAACAGTATACAAAGGAATAATGGTGTTTCGGAATACTCGTCCGCATGGTGCTAATAATACTGCTGTATCTCGATACTGCAGCCTCTTTACTCCTTCGTCATTCCTCCTTTCTCATCCTCGCTTCCCGTCAACTGTGCTGCTGTACACGTACGTATACGTACAGCTGCATGCAGTTAGCAGCAGGAGCAGCAGCAGCAGCAGCAGCAGTATAACGTGAAGGTCATCAACAGAGTGCAATATTAAGAGAGACGCCGACGATGGGTCAAGCAATCAGTTGCCGCATTTCATCCCGCCTGTCGGCAGGGACTCACTCACTCACTCACTCAATTCGCAACTGCTGCTGACGTATACTGTATCGCAATTGAGTTATATACGTCTCTTTGTTTTGTGTTTTTGCGTTGCACATTTTTACAGCAGCAGCAGTGCTGCCTGCGTTGAATGCTGTGTGAACTCGTCATTATTCGGGGTGCTGTGCTGTGCTGAACCTTGAGATTTAATTTGTGTTTGTCATATACTGTATACAGTAGAGTACCATCAACACTGTACTGTACGTCCTCGGATACCTGCAAGATTTCTTCTCTTCGAATTGAGGACGAAAGACCATCATCAGCAGCACTGAATCGATGCGCGAGTGCTGAAAACAAAGGAAAATGCTGATATCCGCAGTGGCGAATTTTCTGCATCTTGTGGCAGCATACACTTGTGCAGATGCAGTTGTGGTGGACTTGGACTCTGAAGAAGCCGTTCCAGTGAGCATTTATTGAGATCGAAAAGCCTTGCCAAATAATACGCGTCTCGTATATCATGTACGGAAATACAAACAAACAGAATACTATAGACCGTACTACAGTCAAGTACAGTATATACATACGTTTCGTTCCGTATACTGTACTGTAATGGCTGCTGCATGAACAAAATGATTAATAACAACATCCGCTCATCGCATCGTGGACAAATCCATCTAGCTTAATTTATTTTCATTTCTTGCTTTCATTTTCGACGTCGCCGCAGCTCCATCTAGTGTCGATTTGTCGTACAGTACTGATGTACACTTATTGCTGATGCCTTTAAATGTATTCTCCATAAACTGTACTGCACTGTACTGTATTGAACTGTGCTGTCCTGTATATACTGTATACAAGCTCAACCTCAAGTGGACCCTCGGCATAGAGCAGCAGGCAGTCGTTGCAGAGTTGTTTGACCTGATTCACTCCTTGGACTGGAAAGTGCAGGCCAAAAGCAGCAAGAGATCGTCTTCACGGGCTGTTGTGTCCTGGGCTCACTCGCACGTGTATGGCAGAGACATCTACCGGATTCAGGTCCTGAGCCCTCTTATTATCAGATCAATCCGCGCGCAGCGAGGAATGTACAGCAATTACTGTATACAGTATCAATATTGCTGCATTCCCCTCTTCTTCTTCTTCTTCTTCTTCTTGTTCTTCTTCTTCTTTTTCAACGACACATGTAGATAATAATGCTGCTGCTGATGCGTGTAAAAGAAATAATAAAATATTTTATTTTTACTGTATAATAATGGAATATATTCTCAAAAAATTGATGCTAAAAATGGCACAGAAAAAAAAATAGAGTATTGCGTACGTAGTATACGTTTTTCCTTTACTGTTGTAGTTGACGTGATACATGTCCGCATGAGCACTTGTGAATAAGACCAGAAACACAAGCATTTCAGCCTTTCACTTCATTCACGATGGTTTAAACATATCCATGAGCTATTCATTTATATATTTTATACGGATATTATTGCTGGCATCAGGACGAAGTGGACGCTAGTGTGGAGAAAGTGTTTGACACCTTCTGGCTGGGCCACTACGTCCCGCATTCATGGAACCCCATGATTGCAGACACCCGCTTCATTTCGGTGAGAATCAGATCATGTCTCTTTACTGCATATACTGGCCGGGAATAATGGAGTATAGTGATGAGTTTAATCATCAGTTTTTCTGGTAAAAGTTAGCATTTCCAGTAAATACCATACCATCGTCAAATTCAGGCAGCACCGGAATAAAGGGGATAGGTGTGTAATGATAGAGAAATTAACTTTTCCCGACGGAATATCTAAATACAGTATGGTTTCTACCTCTTATTCATTGTTCAATGAAAGGGCTACTGCTTTATATTCTGTATCTTGGTAGCAACGGAATATACTGTAGTATTGTGGATTCCTTGGCAATGAAGTAAACATATGGAGTATATGGTTGAAATAAGCACTCTGCCCTGCTGCTCTGGACTTGTCAAAAGGAAAGTTGGGACAAGCTTATATCTTATTCGATTTTTTTTTGCAGTGCATGAAGAATATTTTTTTTGTTGAAAAAACTATTGCAAAAAAAGATATCCTAATCTATATAGAAAAGGAGTTTAAAAATACACGTAACTATGCTGGAAAGAAGCTTCCTAATTTATTCCTTGATGAATAAAAATGGACAGCCCAGAGGCAAAACAAAGAAATATATGGAGAAATCTAGCAAAATGAACTTTCCAATTGAGACGCAGTGTGTACAGTACAGCATGTTCGTGATTCTCACGATGTGTTTCCATAATAATCATCATCATCATCCTCATCCTCACGTCGTCGCATGACCTATAGTACGTATTCCTGCACTACTGTATACACAGTATGGTGGGAGGAACATGGTCTTGGTTTGGCAGATGACGACCCCGCCGGTGCCGGGTGCTGGCCTCGTGGCCTCCAGGGACTTCGTCACCTACTCCTTTTTCCAACGGGGACCCGGTCCCGAGGGCATGACCATCATCACCTCCAACGTGACTGCTGGCCGTGGCCGTCGTCGTCCGGACGACGAGGATGACTTGGACTTGATGGAACCAAAGCCGGATGTTGTGAGGTATACTCTTTTACAAGTACAGTACTCTTTTAATTTAGATACTTAAGTATCTATGCAAATGCATATCCAACACAATTGTGTTGGATATGCATGATGGGCTACATCATCACGGGACACTACAATATGTATATATATATATATATATATATATATATATATACACGTATACTGTTTGTGGCAAAGTCTTTTGGGAGGGAAAGTCGACATGCAATCCCTATTTATATTTACCTATATAAACTGCCGCTGTGCTGCCAATAAATAGGACGCAGGTCACACATCATGACGGGGTGCCGAGATAACATCAAGTCAATAAGAGACGAATATTGCATTGCTTTCTTGTCTTTCAAAACGATGCACACCATGAATGAATGAATGCAGGGCTTGCTGTGCTGTCAGTGGCTTGGTGCTCAGACCGGCAACTGGGGATGCTGCTGCTGGTGGTTTGCTGATGATGGGGCCATCAGCAGAGGAGAAAAAGAGGACGAGTGTGGACTGGATCGTCAACTGCGAAACACACCCGCCGACCTTCGCCCCGTCGTCCGTCGTTCGCGCTCTCAGCGCCAAAACCTACCTCCGTGTTATGGACTGTTTGCAAGCCGAGTTGGCCATCAGCAGCAGCAGCAGCAGCAGCAGCAGTCAGCACTATACATAGCAATAATAGTGCAGTACTGTACCATCAGCACACACATGCATGGGATCAATCCTACATACCGATGACTGATGTCATGGATGAGGCGTCTTGTGACTCTGGATCAGCATCTTTCTTCTTCTAGCTTCTTCTTCTTCTCCTATTTCATTTATTGTTTTGACTTCATTTGTGGCAATAACCACCACCATCAGCTCATCAGCATTCGAATGATGCTGCAAGACCCGTTTCGTTGTCACCAGTATTAATCGATGAAATCATTAATGAGACACACGACGACTTCTTGCATATACAGTCTTGCTGCCTTTTTCTTTTTTTTTCTGTAGTACCTTTCCACGTTTTTCCTTCATCATATATTTACCTGCATGCTGCTGTACTTTATATATACATTAGATTTGTGTGTATATATGTACATGCAGATCGAAGCAGAAACTGGGAATAACGAATCAATTTGTGCAGTTAT